CTTGGGACGTATTATCGTCATTAGATATAAGTGAAAAGTAGATGCGAAAAAAATTTATAGAAGAGTACAAAAAAGATTTTCTCGATTTTAAGTTAAATATCGAAATCGTGAGTGCTTGCGTTTTGTATTTTCGCGATGAAGATATATTTACGTGTAAAAAATGTCTTTTCTCTTCCACGGTACGTAGAGCTGTGAGTATATGTATATGTATATGGGTCGGGGGAGGATTGAAATAATAGGAAAGAGAATGTGGGGCCAGATGGTCATTGGGCGGAAATAGAAAGACGAATCGAACAATGTACCTAATGTATCTTCGCGAGGAGATCAGATTCTCAGCACAGTTATTTATTCTACGACAAGTAACGACAATTATCGACGGAATCGATCAGTTTCGATCTCGTCTTTTATCCTATTTCTAATCTCTTGTTGCACCCTTATTTATTGACCCACGTGTTTTTATCGAACTGTCGCACTTCGAATTATTACAACTAACAAGTTGTCGTTAATGTTTTTTACACGGTAGTTAAACCTTCTGTTAGACGTACGCTTTTACAATCTAGTAAGAGAGACCACACATTCCACTCCGTACGTGGTGCAAACTAATTAAGTTTTTACCTAAGGTATTTTAAGCATAAAATGCTCGCTTATTTTTATAACTATTTATTTTCAGAGTAATTATAAGTATCTACTATTAGAATTATTCTTTCGCCACTCGATAGATAGAACAGATCAAACGTAGATAGTCTACCGAAACGTAGTACACAATATTGGACATTATAATTCGTAACGGTGTGTTTCACAGTATATCATGGAATAAATTACGATAACTCGTTAAGTTTTGATCGCGAAATGGGAAACGATACATATTTGTACGAAGTTCCTCCATGTTTTTCGCGACAACGTACAAATAATTTTTTCTTCCGAAATAAGTATTGTTTATCGCTGAAAAGAACTCTCGCGTAGCGGCACAGAGGCAAGAGGGGATTCTTCGCCTATCCCCACTCTTCAACGTTCTCGGAGACCACGCGATATTAGTCTCCTAATATCGCACACTACAAGAGATTTCCTTTACTATTAAAAATTGTGAATAGAAGAATTGTATAAATAAGATATAATTATTTTCGATTATTTGAAGAGATTGCATTTCATCCTTTCAATAGAATTGCTTTTTTCTATCAATCGGATTAATATATATGTCCATATTAATAAATAATAGAAACGTGCTAGAAACAAAAATTCGTGTCAAAATAGGCGTTCCCCTTCTACTTTGACCAATCAGAAACCGCATTCCTTTCGCGATACTTCTTTTCAGCAGTGAACAGTACGCGTCATTCGTTTCCATGTGTGACAGAAACTGAAGGAGAAGAACTGTTGTCAATTGTTTTTCTTCAGCAAATTTTACCGCGTTCGTTTTTTTCAATTACGGATTATTACGTTATATCGCTTTATTTTGATGACAGTATTTTGTAAAAAAATATCGATACACGCTGGTACGTACGCATGATACTAGGCGGAGTCATTGATTAATCGCTTTTATCGAGCACACAGTACCTTTCTACGATTTTATTTCTCCAATGCTTATCCCTGTGTACAGGTGTACTTTTATGAACACGATACGAATCGAATACTATAATAAGAATAATTGCATCGATTGTCGATGCGAAAAGAAATTATTCGATGATGTTTAAACGGATTGTTGTAATGTATGTTGTTAACTGGAATGAATATAAAACAGGTCCGAAATACAGATCGAGGATCACTTAAATAATGAAGGGCGCTATCTTACTGTGATGCTGAATATATATTATACATATATACATAAATATATGTATGTTTGTGCGTATGTGTTTATCTATGTATGTATACACACATGCACACATTCGCACATATATGTATATATATACACATAATTATACAATTAATACTTGTAGTATTATAATTAACGGATGACTTGGCGCCGAAAAGATTTCATTCTTGAACTTGAAATCTTGTATTTGCGGTGCCGAATTGTAATTTTTATTAAAAAAAAAAAAAAAAAAAAAAAAAAAAAGCTGCATAAACGAGAGTAGATACGAGAGAGAAAGATTGAAAGAGAAAAACGAAAAAGAGAGATAAAGTTCGTTGAATCCGTATCGCTCGCATATCATAATTGACAAACGTTTTTAAACGTTTTAGATATCAGCGATCATTGACGATTGACTTGTTGTTACGTATTTATCTCCTGAATATGTGGCACTTTAACGAACCGTTATTTTTACGGTATTGCGATTAACAATTGTCAAAAAAATTACGAAAGAAAATGGCGAAGGAGAGTAGCGTGCGCGTTGCAAGTATACGCAGTTCTTGTACGTATGAGGTGGCTGATTTTTTTATTATAATCGGATTGTATGTTTTTCAAATAAGAATACAATTTTGTAATTTTTTTTTTTTTTTTCCTTTTTTTGTTTAATCATACTCAAGTCACTGAAGTTTTTCACGAATCGATTATATCGATTTTACGTATTTATCATTGTTTACGAAAAAATTTTTCATTAATTCAAGAATCGAGAAATCAGAAGGGAAAAGAAGTAAAAAAAAAAAATTATATATATATGTATATATAAGAAAGAAAAAATGCAAACGGTATTGGAATTTAGAAAAAAATACTCTTATTATATCGTACCGTGTGCAATGTTTTCTTTTTTTTTTTTTTTCCTTTTTTTCTTTTCCTATTTTCTTAACTGCGATAACGAAGAAAAATTTGAAAAGACTACAGGGATTATTATTATGCATAAAAAATAATAGGAATAGTTGGAGAAGAAATGGCGCAACAGAACAGTATTTTTGTATTAGCTATGTCGCGCAGAGGTATACTCTCTCTCTCTCTCCGAAATAATATTCAAACGTTTGGGGATCAAAGTTTTTGCAATATATCCGTTTCAGTGTCACGGTAACGGTTACCGCGTGCTCGAAGGAACTGAAATTTGAGAAACGACGCGTCAACGAAGAAGCGAGAGAAAAGTAATTGTAAAAAGAGATAGGGAATGACGACGAAATGGATAATCGAAAAGTAAGGTCGAGAAAAGGAGGGAAATTGACGAAGCGTGCCGCCGCTGATCACGTCTTCGTCCATTTTTATTTTTCCATTGGCAATATGGACGCGTGACGCGATGATTTTCGATTCCCGTTTATCAAAGATCCAGAAACGAATGAAACACACTTGTACACACGCTGCATTAACCTCCGCCTCTGTTCGTGTTTTGCTACGCTGCCGCGTATCGGCTCGATTGAGAACGAATCGAGAACAACGCTGTTCGCTGTTCCGTCTCGTCATCTCGATACATTCTGCATTGGAATTTCTCTCTGCTTCTTTCGGGTTCCCTCGACCCCTCTTCCCTCCTTGATCAATAATTGTCAAAGAATCGCGCGTCAATCTTGTTGTCAAACGTTGTGCGATTAGTTTTAGATTTCTCTCCGCTTTCTTTCCATTGGAAAGTAGCAAAATATTGGGAATAATAGAAGAAGAAACGGGTGATAGCGTAAGTTTATTCTTCCTCGATATATAAAACGATATCTTCGTATTTAGTGCCATAATAACGTCAGGAGAACGACTCGTCGCTATATATTTTTCGTCCTGTCGTTATTTCTTTCATCATATTGTCTCGTTACATACCACTGATCAAAGCTTATCGGACACGGAGAAGAAGTAAAACGAAAGGAGGAGGGGAAACATTTTTTTTTTTAAGAGAAGCACGTTATCGAAAGACCGTGTATATTGCATATTGTGCTCGATGAAACGAGATCAAACGAATCGTAAATATTTTCAATTCGATTATGGGAGGGGGGGGGGAACGTGGAAGAACGCAACGAAGAGGATTTCGCGTGGATTTCGTGCTCGATCTCTCCGATAAGCAAAGCGAGCCTCTCTTGCTTTTCATCCATCGAGTTTTATTTTTACCGCGTGCGACGAGGGGACGCTGCGCTCTGTTAACACGAAAACGGTAAAATCAATTTGGAAGATTGAATCGCACTATTAAGCTAATTACATTTTCCGCGCATATTACATATATTTACGTAAGAGTACTTAAGAAGCGAATGAATCGTCGAAAGATATCTTGATACGTAATGCCATTCGTCGAGATTAGATTTAGAAAAGTATCGAGGATGTAATGTCAGTGGGCCAGTGGGACGAGGCGAGGCGGGATAAGATACGACATACGTGAGGCAGATGAGCGGAGGAGGAATTAAAAAAAAAAAAAAAAAGAAAATTATCAAACTGTGTAAGGCGTTCCAACGTGTTTGCAATTCGAGCATCGTGACGAAAATTTAGCCGTGAGTCGAGTAGACCGGCTAAATTGTAAGCGGATAGCGCGATACGACACCTCGTTCACCTTCGTACGAATTTCGTAAGGCGGAAAGGGACGGCCACGATTCATCGCTTCCCGACGCGTACGATGATCGTGTATTATCGCGTGAGATTGCGGTTACGAGTTTTTTTTTTCCCCCTTCAAACAGACGGGTATTCTGATATAAATATTACGCACGCATGTATATAAATATACATACAATATAAATAAATAAAAGAAAAAGAAAAAAAAAAGAAAAAAAAACAGAATCTGTTACAAGCTGTTTAAAGAGCGAATTATCGTAAAAAGAAAAAGAATTTTACTGTAGATTATATGGTCGGAATATAATCTGTATTGTTCACCTCGACGTTCTACGTTCATGATACACAAACGCGCGCGGAACGTGCGCGTTTCCGTTGATCCCGAACAGGAAAAAGAGTGTAATCACAACTATTGTTAACCTGATACAGAACAGTGAGTTTTCAGGCATCGTGAAAATGTCTTGTTTTTTTTTTTCTGTGAATTACAATAAACTATTTTATTCTACGTGTTGTTGTTGTATTATCATTGGAAATACATTCCTCCCATCTCACGATCTTCCTCCGTTGAAGATCGTTTCGCGCGGATCCTTAATTTCGATTTATCAAAAATGTATCAAAAATAAATATTTCCTCTCTCTCTCTCATATGAGGTGTGCATTTCTTTTTATTGATCGATTTTTGTCTCATCGCTTTACAGTTTATCGTTTGTCGACGGATCACGTCTTTATCAGTTGCGAAGAAGAAGATCCAATTTAACGAACGCGTTTAATAAGTCTCGTTCAGCCAAGGCAGGTTCGCAAAGATGGTTGGCGAAGGATTTGATAATCGAGGAATGTTTCAATTCGCAAAAACACGCACGAGAACGATCCTTTAACGATGATATAAAAAAATACGTAATAAATTACGAATGAATTAAAGTGATTCTTAAACAACTAACAATATTTGGTCGTTTTTTTTTTTTTTGAAGTGAGATGTAATCGTGATCAACGCGCATCGTGAACAAAGCAACGTTCTTTGAGTCAATTTTCTAGAGCTGGCTACTCTCATCTACACGCTACTTTTTTTTTTTTTTTTTTTTTTTTTTTTTTTTTTTTTTTTTTTTTTTTTTTTTTTTTTTTCTCAAACATTTGATGGAGAGTTCGATGGAGCGTGACACGATGGTAACTTATATTGTACTCTTATTAGCTACCTTATTATACCTAAAGTATAACATCTATAATACAGAATACCGAGCATGCATGCTCGTGATGATATCGCGAACAAATGCGCATTACACGTATACATACTTGAGAATTCACTTTAACGTGCAACGATTTTAAAATTGCCTTCTTTTTTATTCGCCTCTTAATCTCTAAGAGAATACGCGATAGTCTATGTTCGAGAAAACGCGAAACTAATACTGCTCTTATGAAAAAAAAGAAAAAACAAAATGATTGTAATTTTAGAACGATGGATTGTAGAAAAAAAAGAAACAAGAAAAAGAAAACTCCATGTGCTCCATGTTCGAACGATTGTCCTCGAATTACGATATTTGTTTGGATATTATTGATGATCTATCGTGTGAAAAAACCATTCGGTGAAACGTCGAAGTTGTTGCGCAGCCGCGTGACTTTCATCCTGTAAACGTCGGTTCTCGTCCCGCAAACGACGCACTTCGTCCTCCAAGGAAAGCCTTCGACGAGTTTCTCTGGCTACTCTCAGTTCAAGAGTGGACAAATGAGACTGCAAATCCGACACGGAATTTCTGAAACACAGAGAAGACGATCGATCGAAATTGCGCGGATAATATAACAAAAAAAAAAATAGCATCGAAATGAATCATATATATGAATCATGTGAATCAAGAGTTCGAAAGAGAGAGAACGCGAATAGAATAAATAATTAATATATTCGGTATCGTGGCACGGTAATTGCAGATCGCGTCACCAACTTACGCGATGGTATTGCATCCATCGATAAGTCTCTCGTCGGGCCATTCTTGGGCGTGCTGCTTCGATCTAGAATCCACGTGGTGAATTTGTGGCCAACGGTCCACGTCCGTATCGTTATGATTTTTCGCGATGTCTTTGATGGACGGTGTCAAGTTGGCCGATGCTTTGGAAATCGATTGGGGAGGTTTGGTAACGCGCGGTGACAATCTAAATTAAAGAGATTACACACAAACACACGCACATGTGTATTCCACATAGGAAAGGAAAGTTCCAAGATCGTATATCTTTGTACAACATATATATATATATCAAACTTTCTCTCTTACCTCTCTTCCTTCGACAATTTGTTCTCGCTCGGCGCGGGACTCGACGCTGTGCTTGCATTCGAAATAACCGTTGCTGGCCTGGCCATCGTCAAAATCACCTCGGATCCAGTGTTGCCGTTCTCCTGGCCGTTAGCCGGCAACACGGTCAACGCGTTCCCATTACCACCGCACAAATTCTCTCTCGATCTACACCTGTTCTGTATCTCGAGCATATTGTTGTTGTTCATCTTGTTCGGATTCTGATTGGCGATCAACGCATTCCCGGTCACGTTGTTATTCGTTATTATTTGATCATCGTCGCCGATATAATCGGGATTGATCAGTTTCATCAGATCTTCCTGAAGCGTACTCGACGTTAAATTCGCCGAATTTCTGTGCGAATTTCGCACGCCCGGCTTCGGTCTCGGACTCTGATTCCTCGAACCACCGCTCGAAGGCGTTAGATTTCCCCCACGGTGCGATTTGTTCGCTCTTCTCAGCCGGGGTGACACGCTCCCGGATCCGTTCGACAATTCATCCTCGCTCGGTAATGTAGCCACCTCCGGACAATTGACATCGACGATTCTCATTTCGGGGGGGAGACTTGTGGCGAAGTCTTTCGTTTGGCGATACTCGATGTTTATCTTGTGGGGGACGGGCCTCTCGGTGATGGTAGTTTTCAAACACGTAACCTTCTCCCCAACTTTGAACTCGTGCGGCAAATCGTATCGTATGGAGGTGTCCCGATTAGATTCAATTTGATTATCGCCGTGCTTCCTCTCGTTGATATTGATATTGTGTTGACACTCGATTTCATACTTATTCGACACATCCATGTCGTATTTGCTGTTTCGTCTCTCGTATATCTCCTCGGGATAATCGTAATTGATCGTCGACCCTCTCTTAGCCTCGTGGCCCCTTATATCCTGCTCGTATTTGCACGACGTTCTATCCAACAATTTTTCATCCTGCCCGTCGTACTTCGAATTTCTGTCCTGTTTCCCTTCGTGCTCGTATCCTTCGTTGCATCTACCGAGATTGTTATTACTGCTAGACTTTGGAAGACTGTAAGCTGCGTTCTGGGCTAAGGGTAAAGAGTTGGATGCGCTCAACTTTTGATGAGTTACGTAATGCATATCGCTCTTTTGAAGCTCTCTCTGGGACGCGTATAAATTTTCTTGCTTCATCTCGTATTTCTCCTTTTGAAGCTTCACGTAATTAGAGGAGACGTGGTCCTGATTACGATGGGCGTTGTCCAATTGCCTTTGATAATTCTCGTGTCTCATGTTATCCTGTACCACTTTCGGTGACACGTAATTGCCCTCTTTCTGATAATGATCGTGGCCGTGGTGCTTCGAACTCTCGGAAAATTGTTTAGCGCTCGCGTAATGGGACTCTTTATCCTTCTTCTGAGAAGATTTCGAAGCGATCATCTGAAATGATTGCCTAGCTGGAAGCGGTGGTGGGGGAGTGCCGCCATTGGTACGATACCCTGCACTTTCCTGATCCTGCGGTTCCAACAGCTCGTACCTGACCCAGATAAATATCGAGCTTTAAAAATTTATTAATACTCTAATAAAATGTAATGCACGTTATCTTCTTACCAACGATCTTCGTTGCTACTGTGCCCGCTACTACTACTCGTCATCGTGCCTTCCATGGGGAAACGCGGATCGTTGAACGATCTGGAGCTAGATCCTGTCCCATAACCGGAACTGTTGCTCGATCGTGGTGGGCTGAAAGATCTCTCGTACCGTTTCTGATGGGGCATAGCTGCCTGCTGAGTTGGCGTGTTATCCGGACTGGTTACATTTTCGTAATCCCCCTCGTAATTGCTCGACAAGTATTGGCAATTCTGCAGCGTACAGCCTCTGTTTCGCGACGAGAAGGAAAATCTTATAAACGATAAGAATCGACTAATAGAGTAATCGTTCTAGAGATGATTCGCGTCTCACCTCCTTGGATTACCATCGTTATTCGGTGGTATCACAGTGACAGTGACCTGAGCGCTCGTTTTCAACAAATCGACCATCTGGTCGTGGCTCAAAGTGGACACAGCTACTTTGCAGATCTCGACGAGCCTGGATCCCTGCCTCAGCCCCGCTTGCCAGGAGAGCCCCATACTCTCGACCTGCGTTACCACTCCGTCGGGTTGAACGTGAAAACCCAATTGTCCCAAGCTGTTCCTCTTCAAGGATAGTTCGGTGGCCGGTGCTCCTGGTGTTACGGCGCGTAGACGAGCAACTATCTCCATTAACTCGTCCCTTTCCCCGTAATCACCGCGCACGTGAATCGTGATACATTCTCCTTGGTGATAGTACAATCTCAAGCTGAAACGAACAGCTGAATCAATACGTTTCTATATATAAGATAAAAGAATTAAAAAGAATTTGAGAATGTACCTGTTAGTTTGGGCGTGCCATCCCAGCACGCTCACGCATGGAGTGACGAATACAATTTGTCTCGAATGTTCCTCGATCAGGACGATCGTATCTATGCTTACTCCCAGGTAGCAATCCGTGTTCTGATTGCTGTCCTCAAGTATCACCTGCCAGCATATGGCTCCGCGTTGCATCGCGTCGCAGGATAATCTTGGTCGTACCGCAGTTTTCTTCTTGCTGCTGAACGACAGCATAGCTGTACGAAAACATAAGTCGTGGATTGTTCGTTCGAAAGGACGACGAGGTTAAGGTCGAGGATGAGGGGGTCGAGAACGAGATGCGAGGTTACTTACAAAATTTCTGTCCGGTGTCAACCACGGCTGTTGAAGAATAATTCGTTGCGAGATCTTTCAAGTATTCCTGCCTCGTCCTGGTTGCCATGGTTGCGAACTTTTCCGATCTACGACAGAGTGGGGATGGTAAATGTGTTCTGTATAACGTTCCGTGCAAATAGAAGGATACGAAATTGAATTGTATACCTATGCGCAGCATTTTCCGCGTTGATCACTTTTGCCAGGATGAAATCGGCGAATGTTTTCCCCTTGGTAAACGTGGCGCCCTGAGGGACAGGGGGGCCGAAAATCGGCACTTCTTTGCTTCTGGATACCGCCACTCTGTACTGAGTGTTGTCAGAGCATGGATCGACAGCCCTGACCACGATGAAAACGTGTTGGAATTGAGAGCGTATCCTCCGCGGACTGAAAGGCAACGCGCCAGGTTCCTGGAATGAAAACAGCGAGTAAAATAACACGCAACGGTTACTTGTTAACACGTTGACTGCAGCGCCACTCATTGTAAGCTGACGCTTATTTAACTACTTATGAACGATCTTTGTAGGCATTTGGAAAGATATTCTACAGAATAAAACTATTAAATTGTTATAAAAATAATAAAAAAATAATTTACTAAAAAAATTATTTTAAATGTAAAAAATTTTAAAACATTCTATACAAAGCTGAGGTTGATCCGGATAATTTGGACAAAAATTATTGTTGTCTTTTTTAAATTCCTTCGTGCGTTTGATCGGTCTTGTCGTCTTTTATCCGAATAACATAATTTGCATGCAGTCTAATATTTATATCAGAATATAATTAATTATAATAATTAATTAATTATTTTTCCGAACGGCAATATTATGTTGACTCCGTTGAAGGTTTTGACAAGGTTTTATTGTATTTTCGGATAATCTTAACAATTTTGTAGCTAATAATTCTCTAAATATTCTAATTTTGGGGTGTCATGGCGATACGACAATTAGATAGTTTATGAATATATCGTGATCGGACACGATTACCTGCTGTGACATTGTGAGAGATCTTAGTATCTAATAGACAAACCATACGAATAATTTATATACAATTTAATAATTTATATACAATTCATAATTAAGAAGTATATTTGTTATGACTAGTCGAAGGATATTCGACAGTCATATTATAATCCAAATTATCCGAATTAAAATATCCAAAATATATTATATAAATCAATATTACTATTCAATACTATTATCAATAAAAAAATATATTTGTTACGACTAGTTGAAGGATATTCGACAGTCATATTATCCAAATTATAATCCAAATTATCCAAATTAAAAAATATCCAAAATACACTATATAAATCAGTACTACTATTCAATACTATTATCAATAAAAAAAGTATATTTGTTACTAGTCGACAGTTATATTATCCAAATTAAAATATCCAAAATATACTATATAAATCAGTACTACTATTCAATACTATTATCAATAAAAAAGTATATTTGTTACTAGTCGACAGTCATATTATTCAAATTAAAATATCCAAAATATACTATATAAATCAGTACTACTATTCAATACTATTATCAATAAAAAACTATATTTGTTACTAGTCGACAGTCATATTATATCCAAATTAAAATATCCAAAATATACTATATAAATCAGTACTACTATTCAATACTATTATCAATAAAAAAGCATATTTACTACGACTATTCAATACAATTATCAATAAAAAAAGTATATTTGTTACTAGTCGACAGTCATATTATCCAAATTATAATTCAAATTATCCAAATTAAAATATCCAAAATATACTATATAAATCAGTACTACAATTATCAATAAAAAAAGTACATTTGTTACTAGTCGACAGTTATATTATACAAATTATAATCCAAATTATCCAAATTATCCAAATTAAAATATTCAAAATATATAAATCAGTACTACTATTCAATACCATTGTCAATACAATTACTATTATCAATACTTCCATTGCGGACAATAATAATGGAAACAAATGATGCGAGACGTCATTCTTGCGACCATCAGACTCGCATTACTAAAATATCGGATATAGAAGTATATGGAATACGCTTGATACAACGGCGTGCCTGAAGGAGATTTCGTTAGAAACGCGCGTGTCAGTCAACGTGTCAACGGTGATCGGCTCGAGATCGTGTATGGAGAAACGGGGTACCGTTTCTCTTACCTGAAAAACGATCGTGACTATGTCGTTTCCAATATGCCTCTTTCTGAGCAACTGTTGCCTGTTGTTCGGAGTGAACGGTAGCATGGTCGACACGTGAAACGTCACTTCCGCCCCTCTGTAGGTCGCGGCAACCGCGTGGGTGCCGGTTGAGTCGGTCCTCGTGTCCAGGCCCGCCTTATACCCCTCGAACCCCCTTAACCTTATTCTTTGGCCGATCGTGTCGAGAAATTCGAGGAAGGCGGGCCCCGCGTGTTGATTGTTGTACATCTCCTCCTCGGTTCTTTGGCCGGACCTACAGTACAGGACACCGACTTTGTACTTGTTGGACAACCCCTGCTCGTCCAGTCTGGCCAGTGCCTCTTCGGCGGCGGCCGTCCCCGAGCGGAGGCAGCCGAGTTGCACCTCGGGCGCGACCAATTCCAACAGCTCCCTGGTGGGCACCCTGCCCTGCGGCCTTATGCCGCCCAACGCCTCCTCCGGGACGGAGCCGCGGAGCGTAAGCAGCTCCGACGTGCGCACGATTATCCTGTACTGGTTCGTGTCCTTTCGAATACTGATGGCTACGGGGCCCAACTGCTCGTCCATACCGAACCAATTCTGATGCTCTCGGCCTGGAAAGGGACACGACGATGATCTCGAATCCACCAGGTGGAGGCTTTTTATTATTGCTTACCGAGGAAATACCGTCTGTAATAATGAGCACCCTCGTCGACGCTCTCGATAGGGAGCGGCCGTTTCTGAAGGGGGCAAGTGTGCTTCCAGGAGGTTTCCCCGGGCCCAGGTTCCAAAACGGCGACGCCGTACGACAGGGACGGTCTGTGAACTCCGTTGCCCGGGGAGCATCGAGTCAGCCCCACCTCCCGCTCCCCCTCGCCACCGATCTCGTTTCGAAAGAAGGGGCACGACTCCAACAAGTCGTTACCTATATGTATATATATATATATAATTATAAAAATATGTAAAATGATATGTAAGAATGTGTAAAATTTTCGACTCGAAACTTGATTTATTAGATTGGAGAATGATAATGAGGGAGGGTCTTCTTTCGTGCTCACCTCTGCCATCGCCGGCATCTTCCTCGGGGGTTTCGTCGGGTGTCGACGCTCTGAAGGAGCTCGCGGCCGAGGCGCCGGTCGCGGTGTTCCTTCTGCGCGCGAGAAGGATGCCCCTCAGCTTGGCAGCGTAGCCGAGATTGGCTGTGAGCGATTGGCAATCGTAATGGGCGAACGCCCGCCTTCTGTGCCTCTCCTCGACGTCGGCCGAAACGACGGGGCTGCCGCAGCTGCTCTCCTCCATGGCGCGTGGCGCCGCCTTAGCTCCCCACAGTCTGTGCAATTTCAATCGTAATTTCGGGCTGGAGTTGCCGGTCGGGCCGCATACTTCGTCCACGTCGACCGATTGGCCGTCGGGGACGCGTCTCAGGTACTCCACGCCGACTGAATTCCGTTGATCGGGCGTCGACGAGGCCACCGACGCGGACGGCCTCAAGTCTTGAAGCATAGCGAAGAGATTTTCCCCGATCATCACTCCCGATTGTGCCACTACGTCGATGCTTCCTGAAATTAAAATCGTATAATTTGACATGCGCGTTTCTCTTTAATTTGCTCAAATATTTGATGCGAGTATCTTAAATAAATATCTGTGGTGGTTAATCGAGGTTACCGTGAGATCCATACTCCCTACGCAGGGGAGTCTCCGGCACTCGAGAGGCAGGGTCTGGACTGTGAGGAAGCTCCAAGCTCGAATTGGACCTGTGAAGGGCCAATCCACGACCCACGCGGCTGCTCGGCCCTCCGCTGCTACCTCCGCTGCTTCCACCGCCGCCGCCTCCACCTCCTCCGCCGCCACTGTGTATCGATAGGCTTGCGATCATCTCTTCATTCTGTCGAAAAACGATCGATCAACATCGAGAGAGGCGAAAACGTGAGAAGGAATATTTTTGTTTTAACGGAAATTACGTGGCTGGGTTACGGAAAGAAACTTGGAAGAGACGTGGTCGATCACGTGCGTCGCGTGAGATTTACGTGTTAAGATAATGGTAGAAGCGGCGCTATCAACGAAACGTAAAGTAGGACGTTTAATTAGAAGCGTCTACAGCCCTTCCCATTTACGCGTTCACGCGAGAATACGCCTACGCATCTAGACCGTGTCTCGTGGGTTTTGTACTCTTGAGTCATTTTTTTGCCGAGGAAACGGCATTTACGCTATACTAGGCCTTGCAGCGATTAGTAGCAATGTAGACGTTAATTTAACACGCGATAAAATTGTCTGAAACTAAATTGTTTTACAAAAATATTTTTGTTTTCGTAGTTTTCAGTATCGCGTACGTATAAAAGTTTAGCATATACGTATATAAGATTTTGAAGCGTGACTCAATCCAGCATCGTTATTGCAAGAAGATGCGTGGAAGGAAAGAAGCGTGGCAATCGGTGAATCGCGGCATTTACAGTCGTACCGTTGCCCGACTCTCCAAATGTGTTCGGTGAATGGGCGATTTTCCATTGTTAAAGAGAGAACCGGTACCTCGTAGCTCGTACGCGACCAACGATCGAAACTTGGATTAATCGATGACGCGCATGCGCGTCTCCTTCGCGTCCTCTCGCGGATCTCGAACGCAACGAGCGGCATTTGTCGGTGAATTCGAACAACGCGAAGATGACAGAGGCGTTGGCGTCGGCTGTGAAGGCCAACATTCCTCTTGTAATCGAGAACGAATCGAGAACAGAAGAGAAGGAAATATTGCGCATTTTCGACGCTGTCGAGTGCGGGTAATAACGAATGTAATCCATGCGAGCACAAGAGTCTAACGGGATGACAAGAAACGAAGTAGTTCGAAGGCATTTGGCATGAATGATCATGGTCACGCGTTGCCCTGTGGCCCGCTGCATTCCGCGCATTTCGCGCGCGTCGATTTATCGCTCGTGTTTTTCCGCCTTCTTTTCGGCTCTGTTCGGTTGGTGCATGCAGCGCGATTCGTTTCAAAAATCGAAACGAATAGCGACCGTGAAATATCTCTCGCTCGTTTTCGCTTGAAATAACGAAAGGATCTCGTAGGCAAGCGTGCACCTATGCTCTCCCCTTTTTTTCCAACCAGATTACACCGTGCGAAAGTTCTCAGAATTCTGCACGGTTCGTTCGGTCCGACGTCACGCTCCTCGTTGCGCGTATTCATTTTCGGATTAGATCGAAAACGTGTGTATCGAGGTAACATGCGTAATGTTAAGGATGACACGCGGCACGGCACATTTTAGCATCCTCGCGAACAATAACGGGATGGAAATACGTAGATAGAGGAGAAAAGGATGCCGTGAACCGTGCGACGACTGCTGTCACCGGAAGTCATTCGTGACTGTACCGGAAGATGTACGGTTTTTTGTTTTCGTAATATTTATCATTATGTAAATTAGATAGATAGAACGAAAGTGTTTCTTCGAGATCGATACTACTCGTATTCAATTCAAAGAATCGATGTTATCTCTTATAAACCGAAAAAGAGATATCTTCCGAGAACACACAACGATTCGACGAGGATTGATTCTCGAATACAGACGCACATCCAAATATTTTCAACGAACGAATCGTCGAAAGATGAAACTTGGTTCGGACGTTCACTGCTCGAGTATCGGATTCTCTCAGAGCGTTGGGTTGAGGCGCGTCGTCAAAAACGAGACCGAAATCACAGATGCACAGGTGAACTTGTACGACGACTTTTACATACGCTCGTTGCATTGTGGGAACGTTCGAGATGCGTGTAACCGCAGAACCATCGTTCATCGGTTGTATTCGCTTGCACGTGATCATATGAAAGTAAAACGTCAGAACCCGGTTCCTTGTATCGTTACAGTGTAGTTTTTTCGAGATGACCAACGAGACCCTCACTCTCTTCCATCGTTTTATCTTTTCTTCCAACTCCAAAACGACCAAAGATCGATCATTTGAATTGGATATTATAAATAAAAGAAGCAAGATATAGTTACCTGTTTTGTAAGAGCAGAATCACGATACGATACAATATATATATATACACTTAATCCGATAAATTACAATTTTTCGTCGAGTTTATCGTTCTCGTGATAAAATTGAAATGATATCGGACGCGAGCGATATAGGTAACATACGATACGATAAACAAACGTTTTCGTTAAAGATAAATCGCGAAATCGTTCAAGAGATCGTCGAGTAAGTTCTAACGATCGATCGATCGAAAGGGAATATATATCCTCGGTTACGTCATACGATGGTATTATAAATTCGACGAGTTCAACGAGGCGGCACGCGACGAAATAAAAACGCGGATATGCGACTGAAAACGCGTATACATAACGCGTAGTAAATTCGAATAGGTGTTGCGCGAAACAGAACAGCCGATCATCCGAACTAGTTATGCAAATGTTTTGGCATTCTTTGCTTTGCGGTCTACGAGCGTATCGCGAAGTAAGCCGCGCGAAGAATGCCCCCGATCTTTCTTCCCCATTTATATTTTTCCACGTTTCTCCTCTCCGGAGAAGGTAAGCGATGGAAACAACGTTGTACTCGCGTTACTCGTTGGAAATTTTTCTTCTCGATTTCTCCAAGGGTGACCAAGAAAAGACGCCTTTTCGCTCGCGTTCGCGAGCAATATCGAGAAGCATAGCTGCGAGCAAACTTGTGGAAATAAGTTAAACATCAAGTTGGCGATAATATTACAGGCTTCTTTTCTCTGGGAATTGAGGAACAATTGCTTTTTTTTTTCCTCCCCCCATCTTTTTTTCACAACAATTGCTGTCAAGAGAATTTTCCGTGAGGTAGAAGGTGGGTTGTGGAAAGGAATCGCGCATTTTTCACGAATCCCTCGAGCGTGAATACGCAACCGTATAAAGCCACTCCGGATAGAAATATTATTTTCGCCCCTTTCTGGGATCGTAAACGAGGTTGTCGGCGAGAGATCGTAATAACATCGAGCACCATTTACCGTGGAAAAACACTCGTTTTTTCTTCACCCGGCTTCCGCTCGTTGATTACGAGATGCAACTCGGTACGCCAGCCAACGAGTAATTATTTCTTTCTTTCTTTCTTTCTTTTTTTTAATCGTGCGAATTCATCGAACGAATTCATCGAAGGAGAGTTGGCCACGATTGAAGGTGGCTCTCTCCTAACGACCACGAAACCTTTTTACTCGCCGAGTTTTCATTTCGATCGTTCCAATCATCCGAGGATCATCGAGAATCTTACAGAGAAAAAAGAGAAAGAGAGAGTGTGTGTGAAAACACGCAACACGCGATAGACACAATCGCATTAAATTATATTCTCGCTCGCGAAGAACAAAAAGGGAGATTACTTTCAACGTATCTCTCTACGTCCTTAATAAAATGAGCCTCCAAGTAGCATAATCCTCCGATCGATAAGCGATCGAGCCCTCGATCGAACAAAATCTCGATCGGTCCCTCGCAAGGAATGAAAAGAGGAATGGAAATTCTTCTTGTCATCCACGTGGCACTCGTTCAACAGGAATGGAAGCAGGGGGAAATAAATCTGAGGCAAGGGCGTAAAACGGAAGAGGAGAGGGAGCAGAGGAAAAAGGGATTCGGGACAACGAACTTGCCACCGGCCTCTCTCTCTCTCTCTCTCTCTCTCTCTCTCTCTCTC